TTTCAGTTTCAAACTCTGGCAGAAATACAGTGTGTGCAACATTTCATCACCTTATTTCAAAAGAACTATAACATGGTTACGTTTGTATCTTCACAAATAAAGCTGAACAAATCAAGGGACGCTAGGTTTTAAATCATCCACATGCGGGGTTTATTAAACTATTTTTAAAAGAAATAATGTAAACAAAATATTTTTCCACTACGAAGTTTCTTCGGGCTCATTACAACAATTCTGAGCATAATTCAAACTAATGTCTGTGAGTTTTGTGGACCATTCACACAGAAATAAGAGACAAATAGCCTTATCATAGGAAAATGAGCTAGAACTACAAAACCACAAAATTAGCATTATTCACAAAACTATCAAATCTATTTTCAATTTTTTTTTAATTGATTATGTCAAGGGTTTTCATCTATGAGTTCCAACAGTGTCTCGTCCTCCCTGTAAGAGCAAACAACAAATGGGGAAGGGGGCAGGGTGCAAGAATTAAAATCTTAAGGAGACTGAATAAGTAAAAAAAGCTGACTAATTCCCAATACTGACGATGTCCTCCATTAAAAGTATTTCCCTCCTCTGGACCTTTGCATTACATCTGCTGAAGTCATGCTATTCTCCTGAATGGTAGGCTACGTCCAAGTATGTGCTGCTCATAAAGCTTTCTTTCCAAGAGATGGTAATAAAACCCCTTAAATATAAATAGTACATATTAATGCTATAAATAATGCATTAACAGATTAATACAGAAAAGAAGGGAGTTTTATTCTGGTTCCTCCTTCTTCCAGGACAGAGATGGTTTTATCTACAGACCTTAGTCACAATGGTGGTCAGTAACAATTCTAAAAAAAACTGAACTGTGGAAAGATTGATTTCTTTCAGAATCCAGTCATTTAATCCATTAGCACTCTAATGTCCTTGTTTCTCCAGACATCACTGCTCTGCCGGTAGGAGCATACATATGTAGCAAGACCTGATGTTACATGCAATAAAAAATACCTGGATCTCATCACGTTGCCCTTTTGGTTACTTCAGTTGACACTTGCCACACAAAGGGTAAGGAGAGAGAAGTCCTTCTCAGATGACCAGGCTATCCTTTCTCATACCACAGAGAAAGCAGACGTAAAACACTCATAAATCATACGAAAGGAGCAGAAAAAGTGAACGTGTGCCATCCACCAACAAACCTGCCCAACACAGCCAGTGCCATCTCTTCTAGAGACTGGCAGATGCCCACCCAAGGCATTCATTCAACTGTGGTTTCACACAGCTTTCTGCGGATTGAGCACGCCTCTTCCAGGTGAGAATGGATGCTTTGGATGCGATGTGTTCATGCAAAAACAACTGTGCAAATAGGGCTGATGTTGGGTTTGGCATTTTGCTCCTACTTCTATGTATCTTTCTTAATCCATTTTTTGTTTTCCTCAAACTTAATAAGCCAAGAGATTTAAAAGGACCAATCAAACCTCATTTTTTTTCTAAAAACTTGATTCTTCAAGTAGTCAGTCCTATTGCAAGAGCTTTCATTTCAGCCTGATTTTCAAAGGAAACTATGGATATGTGGCTGTGCTCTCTGTATTTATACTACATCACATATTTATACTACAAAATTCTTCTAGAACTTCTGAATTTAACTAATTTCAATTAAAATTAGAGGTTAACAGCCTGAAAGAAACCAAGTTCCTATAACTTTGATGAAAAGAGGTAGCAGACAGAGAAGAAAAATGCTATTGATACTTCTACGATTTATGCAGAGAGCGCAATCAATATCAGGCATTGGAGAACCCACCTGGGAAAGCACTGTCATTAACATCTCTTCTGCTAGAAAGGCTTCATGTATGCAATTGTTTAGACACCAGAAAGTTCACAGAAAATGAGGCTTTACTAACCACGCTGTTCGAAGAACTATTTATAATACAATATCCACAAGAAAGCTAGCTGCTTATTTGTTAAACCATTTTTTCTTTGTGGATTTCTTTTTCCTTGCAATTGATTGTCTGATTCTGATAGCTATATGCACTGCACTAACTTTTTAGACACTGATATGCATTCTCTAACTATTCTCAGGAGTTTTGACTTTATTCCCCTGCATTTTCTTCTTCTGTGTCTACTTCAGTTCCCTTGGAGGGCGGAACATGCACCACAGTATGCATTTCGATGACTTCTGTGCCCCAGGGGCTCACAGGTTTGCCCATCTCTTTTTACAAGAAATGCAAACAAAGCATCAGTTAACAGACAGCTGCAATATCCTTCCAAAAGAACAACCTTTAAAAATATTGTTTACTTGTCTGAACACAAGATATCCTCCTACCCTTCAAAGTAAGTGACTGATTGATGGGTAGGCAAAAGCATTTGCTTTGACAGAATCAGACTGACATCAGTTTTCGTGTTCTTTGCTGTCTGAACAGTATCAAGCTGATCAGATTTGTAATTCTTCTGAAGCACATCAAACCAAGCAAAAAAAAAAAGAAAACTGCAATCCTTTTCTACACTGGACTTGTTCATTTGTCCAATATAAGTTTGTGAGTAATAAATTCCACTATGATAAAAATCCATTGTATAAACTGCTTTTTACAACTCCTGAAATACAGAAATTACCTAGCTTCTTACGACAACTTAATTTGGCAAGAAGATGAGCACAGATCAGAAGAGAGCTGCAACTCACCCAACTGTTATTTGTTCTTTAACTTTTTTTACTTTTTAAAATTGGCTGTTGCAGGATGCTAACCAAATAGTTAACCAAGAAGGCATCAGGCAATAATACTCTAGAAAATAGGCAAGTTTATATCCAAATGCAACTGGCAACCACTGACACCATAAATGGCCATTCTTATGCAGCTAATTACAGTGCCTTTCATAGTGGGGAGGAAAAAGTTGGACAGTCTGCATCGAATCTCACAAAAAAGATGACCATAAATGTACGCCTCTATTTTCGCAGTCACATGCAACTGAGATCACATGGTTAGGTACACTATACAATCCAATTCCCAAAATCAATAGAAAGAATATACAACTGATTTACATGCACATTGGATAAGGCCCCAGCTAGACTTTCACGGCCAAGATTGTGATACGGGTTGTGCTGAAGTACCTTACTATTCTTTTTGCAGAAAAGTGGAGCGTTTTAAAGTAAAGATCTGGCTGAAGACATAAAATCCATCTGGCACCTTACAACATTTAGATTTGCAGAGAGATACTGATCACGTTGCCTTATGCTGTACATGCATAGGCCTTTTCTTGGTTTTGATACTTGGCAGATCTATCGCATAGTATAAGGAGAGAGACGCTGCATCTTTTCAAGACTTTATACTCCGCTGACACACAATTTTTCAACACGGATATTTTAACTGGGAATAGCTCAAGTCTGAAAACTGTAATTTAAAATACATGTTATTTTAATATTTTAAAAAGATACCTATGTTTTATTCTTCTTTATAAAAGTAAAAATTCATTTCCACATACACTTAAAGTAATAGAAAATTTTATTTCCTTTCTCTCAGGAAGCCATTTCAAAATAATATAGAACAGATTTGTAAAACCTGTTTAACGCAGTCTGTTTTCTACTGTGCCTGAAGTACTATATGTGCTACACACGAAAGACTCATTAAGAAGAGCTTCTGCTACTGTCTCATTAAATAAGCCTCAGGGCCCAAAATAACACACCAAGATACGTATTTGAGACATTACATATTAGGAAAATTATCAAACTCCTTAAAAACTTAAGAAACTCTCAAATAGTCTACAACCCTTTATGCATTTGATATCTCAAACAGTAAAACCTAAAAATCTTAACAGTTTGCTCTAGTTCCTTTTCTAGTATGCATAAAAAAAGAGATACAATCTCACGGTCCAAGTATGAAACTGGAAATCAAAATATCTTACATCATGATTCGCCAAACCACACTATGGGAACTAACCCAATTGTACCTGTCTTCCCCCAGTACAACGGAGAGAATTGAATTTATACCGAATTGATCAAATCTATTCAGTTGAAAAAGAATACATGAGACATTTGGCTGCTGGGAATGAGTTTTAGAGAGCAGTAAAGCACATGTTTAGCTACATGCTAAAACCAATTGAAATGGCATTACTAGTAACTGAGAAACTCATGACTTCAAAATTTTTACTTCTGGACGACTGACCTAGTCTTGCTAGAGAATGGTATCAGATAAAATAGAAACCAAAGGACATTAATAATTACAAGAAGTAAGTATCCAATTCTCCCTAGGCAAAGAGAACTTGCACAATTTCATTTGCAAAAATGATGTATATAATTTGTAACATTACACTGAAGGAAAACACAGACCAGTGATAAAAAAATTTACAAGGTGGCCAAGGCCATTCACTAATCAAACAAAAAAATGCCAAAGGTAGGGAAAATTTCACAGGGAGTTGTAACTTACCAGCTTCTAAAATGTCAGAAGACTTGACAGAAGTCTTGAGAGACAGAAGATTGAAGTCTGTATATATACTGCTCTGACAGTTTAATTGAATCAAAATATCTAAAGAGGCACAGACAGTAAAACCAGATAAAGTGCAAAAAGGAATCTGTAAACTATCAAAGGAAATACTACAATTGGCTTTACCTTAGCTTTTTAATCAATTTAAATTCTCCACTTGGGTGTTTTTATACATTTTAGAACAAAAACTAACATTCAAAAAGACACTTTTAAGTTTTTTCAGGCCTCAAGTGACATGAACTTCTTTAAATCAACAGTCTAGCACTTATAGTCAAATAATGGAGAAGGAAAAGTCAGCAGATAAACAGAGATATTAAGTATATGCTGTCCTCACATATTCAAATGTGTGTTTGCTCTGCTTTTTATAGAAATGTCTTCATATAAGCTTTCAAAGCAAAATTAATCGTGCTTTCTAGCAGGACATTATAAAAAAACACTACCATGAGAGATAATAACCCAAACATTGAAAAACAGGGACTGCAAAACAGAGTCTAACTAGAAGACTATTATTTTAACACTATTTCTTATTTCTTCTTCATGATCTCTCATGCTTGCCATGCAATTATCACAATTAACTCCACATTCCTTGAAAAAAAGTTATTAATACATAAATGTCAAAACACGATCAATTCTTAATGTCTGAATTGCATTCTCGGTCTTCCAAGAGGATGGCTACTTCTGGCATTTTTTGCAGAAAAGCTTTAACGTTGTTTGCCAGATTGGTCCTTTGATCTTCCATCAGCATCTGCAGTCAACCACTGCTTTGGTCAGAGAGTCCAGTGTTTTCTTTTAATTTTATTTTAAGAGAGGAGGCACAAACTCAGAGAAAAGAGTTGTAAGTCCTGCAGTTTCAAATTCCTTTTGTAGATCATCCAGCGTTGAATATTCTTTGACTTCAAATGTCTGAAACCTACATTGTAAAAGGGAAACTCATGAACATGCCTGGATTTGTCAGAATGTAATTATTGACTTTGTTACTTTTCTATCCACAACAGTACTAAATTATACCTTTTATGCTGTGACTGTACTTTTGTCTCACACAGTACACTAATCATTTTCTCTTTGCATTTCTTTCCGCTTGAGTCCACATCTACCTTAGAAGTTTTCTGAAGAATCAAGTACTCCTAAATGACAAAAGAGAACAAAATATTAAATATCACCTAGTATCTTTGAAGTTTAGTAAAATAAAAAAAATCTATAACGAAACATACAGGTATTTTTCAGAACAGAGCAATCAAACTTTGAAAGTGCCAATCCTGAAAACTGCATGACTGTTTCTATTCATCAGCTTGAAGTTAAGCACAGTCTTGAGTGATCCAGAGAACGAGAGTTTGAAAAGCCAAAACATTCTTCTCCAATATTACCACAAAAACCTGCCTAATGCAGCGGGAGTTCCTAACTACGGACAGGAAGTTGAAAGCCTAGGCGTGCAGTAGGAGCACCACGTGGTCTAAGCCAAGGAAAGATGTAGGAATGAGGTAGAAATATGCGTTATTAATTTCTCATCACAAATTTTCTGTTTTCTGGGGTGTTTAGGGAATATAGGAGCCTGAACCTCGGCATATTACAGTCAGGAAGCACAGGGAATACAGGGGTATAATTACAGTGGGAAGCAAAGCAATAAGGGCCACAGGTCTACAAGTATCACTGGTTTCTTTCTCATAGAATAACCTCTTTTTATTAAATACAGAATGAAGTTGTTGGGCCTTCCTTATCTCCTAATGATCAATCTGTTTCCAAAATTGTTAATCTTCGAAAAACACACACAAAATATTCAGACACACAGGTTTCAGTAGTAAATCAATAAAACCAGTCAACATTCATTGTTCCTGCACCTTAATGTTGCTCCTGTCACCCTGAAGAAGAATCAATATTATCTTGCCCATGAACATCAGTCTTCCAGTCAGCCTTAGATCTGAAGTCCATTTTTCCACAGTTTTGACATATTTTGCCTTTGCTCTCATGTGATCTAAATGCAAAAGGAGCATCCAGATACCATCCTCTGTACTTGCTCCTTTTGACAAAGTAGGTTTTTCATTGCAAACTGTTGCTGATTGCCTAATGACATCCTTAAGATGCTGCTGTATCCAAAGAATCAGATCGTGTACCATGGGTTCAGAAAGATGCTTCTTTGCTTGTTCACGTAATTTATCTTTCACATCCGTACATTGGGCCCTCGTAAGCTGGTCTGAGTTAACAGAAATATCCGGTAGAGTTGATGGATAATTGACTGGTAAATGAAATAACAACTTTAAAAGTACATCTGTATCCAGCAGTTCTTTCACGATGATTTGAATTCTAAAGGTGATTCCATGCGTCTCTGGAAAGTATCAAAAAATAAACATTAATAGCTTGCTTGAAGTTGAAATACGTATATATTATTAAGTCATGTTGTTTTCTTTAACAATTCAACTCAAGTGATTGCCATTCTATATAAAATAAGGGGTGTGGGGTTTTTTTGCCGGGTGGGGGGCTGCAACCAAGGGCTCAAGCTATACTTGCCCGGGATCCTGAAATGTAACACTTCCATATCATACTAGAAGGAAAGTTATTAACACATTCTAAAAAGCATTCACACCTTTTGGCTCTTTCAAAGTCTAGACAAGTCAGTAATAAAGAACTGTCTCTCAGAAACACGTAAGTCGGCTTCTACAGCTCAATAGCAGCAACAAGGACAACCAAAAATAGAGACCTTTCTGGATGGACTCAGCACTGCCCTAACTTTGCTCCTAGAGAAACCTGTAGGATGTCTACCATCAATATCAGCACAAGGAAAATAGACTTGTACCAAGTATTTTTGAAGACAACCATTCAAAAGTAGTTCTATCCTAAAGAAAGATTTGGAAAGAAAAAAGTCAGATTCTTTGTCCCCTGTAACTTTCAGAGAAACTATGCTTAATTCTTTTCTGCCAACATCTCTACAACAGCTGGATTGTCTTAATTATAAGACATGTGGTACATCTGACCCTATATACTACACACGTACATATATATACACACTTATATAAAAATATGCATATATACACCCTCATATCTACTCAAAACCTGTTGTTGGTCTACTTCAGAATAGAATTATTTTCAGAGTGAAAAGAATATATACAGTACATAGCAGGAAGGGCAAAAGACCACATCCTCCTGCTAAATCACATAATCAAAGACATTGAATATGAAAGTTATGGACAGTAATTCCTGCAATAAAGTGCTCTTGACTAAAACACGTTTCACAGAAAAAACAATACAAAACTTCATAAAGTGAAAAGGGGGAACAAAGACCTAACCTACTTTTGCTCCTCTGCAATGAAGAAAGAGGGTACCAGATAAAAGATGATCTTCTTCAGATGTTCTCTGCTTCACCACTTTGATGCATTCTAAACACTTCACCCCATTTCTTTAAAAAATTGCTAAAATGTCAGGTTGATTCATTCTACAAGGGCAGGAGAAGCCAGATTTGAAAGGCAGATTAGAGCAGAGCTGAGTTTCAGAGGAGCTCTTTTGAAGTGACTTGCCTTCTTCTCCCCCTACCTTATCTTACCTTCCTTTACGTGACAGTCAGTTGAATTACGTTTGATTAGTACTGCTGACACCGCTACCAACCTCAATGCTCTCTATGATTTTATATTTGAACCCTATTAAATAAGTGAAAGAACCTAAAAGTGTCTTGGACAGACAGGTGCCCTTTAGAGAGCTTTGCCAAGGGCTTGTTTCCAAACCTCATTCCTGGGTCACATGAAGAACTCTGCAGGTCAGAGCAGTCACAAAACCAAACATCCTACAAACCCAATAATCAAACTCTATAAAGAAGTCTGCAAACATCTACAAACCACGGCTACCTAAACAGAATCAAACCCAGTGCCGAAAGCAGTGGACACAAATACGGTGAATTAAATGAAATGACACCCAACCATGCGCACAACTACAGGCACTACATGTCAAAGCCTTTTCCCCTGTCAATGGGAGTTGGTCTCCAGTTTTCAAAGACCCCACAAAAGTTTCCAGACTATTTTTAAGACAAGTTTATTCCCCAAAAACGCACCAGCCTTGGAAGAGACTCCAGTCTCCACAGCATCCATCAGGCAGCATGCAGCCCTCATTCATGGGCCATGGCTACGCAGGAGGACCTTAAGCCTTCCCATTCCAATCTCTGTCTTCTGCTCTGACAAAATGTTTCTTACTGGGCACCAGCAACGATAGCTCCTCTGCCATTACGCTAGGCTTGATACACATAACCACACACACAAGAAGAAAAGCCTGCACTGCACCTCCTGGGACCACCAGCACCCTCTTGGCCAGCATGGAGGGTCTCCGCACACGCCTGAGCATCGCACTGCACAGACAGTGCCTGCCGACCCACCTCCTTCCAGCTGCCCCTTACACAGGGCAGCCATACCAGGAATGTGGACAGCTGAACGCAAGCAGCATTTGGCTGAACAGTATTAACATCGTTATATTCCTGCCCATGAATCACTTTATTTTAAACTATGCTGCCAATACATTTCAAAATGCACAGCCTATAAATGAGTTGAAGAATACTACTTTATTGCCAGCTTAATTACAGTGACAGAAAAACATGTTACCTTTCTGATAATCCTCCTAAGATTTTTCCCCTAGCTTGTCATAACAGATCTCACCAACTCAGAAGTAGCTGAGGGATGAACAGACAGGCCAACCTTGCCCCTTCGGCAAGGGCCTCCTGCTGCAGTGATCATATTCTTAAGCCTCCAACAATCTCACACCTTTCCCTGTGATGATGAACTAATCCGAAGGAAGCAGCGCAGCCTCGCATCCCAAGGTGTATCACCCTGAGCCATCGCGAAAAGCCCAGCCGTGCTCATTTACATCTGCTTCAGACTTACTTTTAAAAAAGGAGAATTGGTTCAAAACGTTTGCGGGGCTACAGTGTCTAAAGTTTATTTAGACATTCCAGCGTCCATTTTATGCACCAGCGCTGCAGACGGCTGGCAGAACAAAGAGCAAACCACCGTCGCCCTGCGTAACGAGGCTCTAAAGAAATATTTCCTTTGTTTGCACACGCTACAAGGTCTGAGTTGTCTTCACAGCAAAATGGTGATTATTTCTGAAATAAAAGGTTGGGTACCTGGCATTTCTGGTTCTGGTGGCATTTAATGTGCTAATAAGACGAAACTCAATATATTTTAACTCATTTTCCCCCCCTAGCTGCATGCTTATCAGTATATTTAGCTCTAGCATACTTCAGATTTTTTCTTATGTTCCATGTCAACCAGACAGATATCCCCCTCCTCTCCTGCCCAAAGGCATTTTATGCAACACATGCAGTCTATTTTTAAATTCAGAAAATGGCACCTACTAACGTACAAGCTTAGAATATATAAATATATTTTTATAGCAAGCTTGGTGAGCAAACCAGAAGAGAACAGATTAACAAGTAAATTATGGATTTCTATCTGTAACGCTAATCTTTGTAAATAGCTATGTAAGGTAAAAAAGATATGCCATAATTAGTTTATTTAAATTCATCAACACATTGGTTTTGATAAAAACATATTTTACATTCTGAATACTTTATTGTTAAATCCCAGAAAGTCAAAGTTTTTAGCATGCCAAGAGACCTGCAAAAGCACTTTCTTCATTCCTCAAAACCATAAATCCCCCACGGCCTCCTTTTTGATCCCATGGATCTACACGCAAATTACTCTTCATGTACTACAGATAGCATAATATAACAGCTTTGCCGGAAGTTACTTCAGTGGACCATTTGTCAATGATCATTTATATGGTTTAAAGAGATAAAACAAATGTAAGCTAATGAATACAGCAAAACTTAATTGTATACAAACTAAAGGATCCTGCAGTGTGTAAAATAGAAGTAAATTCTCAAAGTAAGAAAATTACCAATAATCATTGTTGTAAATAATCTTTTCAATTCCAGCAGAAAACGATGGAAATCAATATGCATGATCCTAACATATCATGAAAAAAGCCTGGCTAAAGGTACTGCAATGTCACTTAACATCAGTATAAATATAATAGCCTGTTCCCATTGTGTACTTGTGGCGCTTCACTTTATGTTCTGGGAAGGTTTCTAAGCCTTTTTTCATCCTGGTTATTTATAAACACAAAACCATTTATCTGTATATGAAGCACAGAGAAGGATGTGTGTATATTTCTCTTACAGATTTGGAGAAACAGACATGCATATGCAATGTTCAGATACTTTCACATTTTTAAAAATAAACATCTGTTAAGCCTGGATATTGTATTTTCAAACTATGCCTGAAACAACATTCTGAACTTTTTGACTTTAAGAAAATAAAACTCAGTCGAAACATTTCATCAATTGTATTTTTAAAATACAACTCTAAATACCAATCAAAAAAATAAAATGGCAGAATTACCTGCCTACACTGGAGCAAGAAGCATGTCATGTAGATCTAGACACAAAACAATTCTGCTTTTAGATTACCCCAGTTAATGGTGCTCCATGCAGACACTAATGTCTTCATCCCTCTGAGGCTGTCTACACACAACGTTCTCTTTTCAAATAACCACCTGCTGTTCTGTGCAAATCTATTTCAACAACTATTTTCAAATAAAAGTTTGAGGTTTATTCAATTAAGTTCTTAGTAACTTTTTAGTTAAAGTGAGTCGCTCAAGAGCAGCCACACGTAGTTCCACACCAAAGCAGCACAAAGTTATTTTCACAGAATCGCAGAATGGTTGAGGTTGGCGGGAACCTCGCTAGGTCACCTTGTCCAACCTCCCTGCCCAAGCAGGGCCACATAGAGCAGGCTGCCCAGGGCAACATCCAGATGGCTTTTGAGTATCTCCAAGGATGGACACCACAACCTCGCTGGGCAACCTGTTCCAGTACTTCCTCACAGTAAAAAAGCATTTCCTTATCAATCCCAATTCTTTTGGCCTGAATACACATGCAAATAAAATCTGATGGCAGGCCACTGGATCCATTTTTAACAGCATTCTCCAGGGCTTTACTGCAGTCCAACCAGCAGGAAGCTGCTGGCTGGCCATCGCTCTGCTGGGGAGCTGGGCAGCACACTGCAATGGCTCCCAGGACACCAGGGAACATAAGTGATACGGAATATATGCATATTCTGTGTGTGTGTGTATGTGTGTATATATATCTCTCCAAAAAATATATAGGAGAGTTGTCACATCTGTGGTAGGCACTAAGCAAAACTTATTTATGCTCTGGATCTGAAAAGACAGGCAACACCTACATATCTCACCTGGAACTTTCTTTAAGCCTGATCGTAACCGCTGTTGTACACCGCAACTACTGAGATTTACTCTCCCTTGCTGAAGGGGCGTCTTCACAGCACTGCGATGGTACAGACTGATAAAAGCGAGCTCTTAAAATTACACTCTGATCAGCGGCCACCATGGCTGGTGCAGAAAACGTGGAGTGAAGGTGCGTACATGTCCTGCGTTCCCAGGCTACAGCATCCGGCAGCTGATGGGAGCAAGCACTACGCATCTTCCCACCTTCCTACCTACAGCAAACATGAAAGAGTAGTACCCTGTAAAACCTACAGCCATATGTGTATTGCTGAAGCCAGAGAACACAGCGTGTCATATGGCCCGGATTATAACCGTAACCCCAGAAAAAGGCAGAGATGACCCAAGGCTCCTTATGCACCCCAACAGCAGCACCCCTATTAAATACTACAGGATAAATACCTGTTTTTCTTACACCTGGGAGGTGCAACTGCTTATTCACCTAAACAGCAGCCAGACCATTCCCACTGCCACCCTTCAAGCTTCTGCACGTACTACGAATGAAGAAAGTCGCTAATTATAAACGAATAGGACCTGCCAGGCTTTATCCCCTATAGAGGCCGGCAGCCAAGACACGGCAGGACAGGGGAGGAGTCCCCCATCTTTGGCGCTGCCGCGAACAGCAAGAGATTAAGCCAGTGCTGCCCGCCCGGGCAGAGCGCCCCCCCCCCACCTCTCCCC